CTTACCAACAAAAAATACAATGTTGTATAGAAATAACTATTATAAATTTATGATTAATTGTCAATTTCTACAAAACCACCAAAAATGTTCTAGTCATGTTACTTCGTAATATCGACCAAAAGGATCGTACAATGGTGCTAGATTACAAATTGTTAGGCTTGGAAGACATGTCATTAAGCCCAAATCATATCTGATAGATTCTTCAGTGAGACTACTAATATATTTTTACATGTTCTACCGTATTTTACGCGGGGTCATAATCTAGTGTTAATTAAACCACATCATATTAGGGTTAAACTCTTTCAACTTGTTTATATGTTCTCCATGAAACCTTGTACTACTAGGATTGAAATTTTAAAGATAAAATTGCAAAAATCGTCACCGTGGTATGCATTTTTTTGGGGGTTTTAGTCGAAACCACGATTTTTTTGGCTTTGTGGTCCTTTTGGACTAGTTTCGTTGCGTTTTTGGTCCCTTGAAAAAAATGAAAAGACTAAATTACCCTTCTAATACATTTTTAGGTTTTTTTTTGTATTTAATTTAATGTTTTATTAAATTTAAATATGGGACCCACAACCTCTATCTCTCTCTCTCTCTCTCTCTCGATTAAATTAGGGCTCAATGTAGAAGTTTCCATCCTCACCGTATCCCGACATCTTCTTCACATCGTCGACCTTGAACCAGGCTGAAATCATCAACGTAACATGAAGCTACCTTCAGTCTCCCATCATTACCTTGACTCGACCAACACCAAACCACCCACTTAGTTTAACCATCGAACCAACCCACCATCAGGAACTGCTACCTGCCTTCATCCGCTTTCACATTCTTCTATCTTCTTATACCCCCTGTTCCCGAGACCAACATAAAGGGAGAGTACATATAAAGTATATACCTGTTACAATTAAGGGAGAGCGGAGGTCAAGTACATACCAATTCGTAAACAAACTTTCATTTTCTTCTCTAGGTTTGTTCCAACAAACAATCGCTTACATCTGCAAACTGGTACATACCCAACTCATAAAAGATGGTTTAGACCTAGATTTTCATTAGTTGCATAGTTTGATTAGAAGGTATCACGTCTCTTGCAACTTGAATCACGTCCGCTAGGGGTGCAAACGAGCCGAGTCGAGCCCGAGCCTGGTCAGGCTCGGCTCGGGCTCGTTTAGGTTATACGAGGCTCGAGCTCGAGCTCGGCTCGATTCGAGCTTCTTGTACTGAGTTCGGCTCGAGCTTGTAAATAATTATACAGGCTCGACTCGGGCTCGGGGTCGGCTCGTTTTTTGTCTGACGTGTCTAAATAAGCTTAAGCTCGGCTTGAGCTCGTTAAGAAGCTCGTTTACTAATACCCTAAATCCATAATCCCCAAATATGTTTTTATTTTAATATATAAAAATAATAATAAATTATATTATATAAAGGCTCGTTTAGGCTCGCGAGCCTAATCGAGCTTAGTGACATGGGCTCGAGCTCGAGCTCGTTTAATAAACGAGCTTAATATTAAGGTCGAGCTCGGCTCGGGCTCGGTTAAAATCGGTTTCAAGTCGAGTTTTTAACGATCCGATCTCGAGTAGTTCACGAGTAGCTTGGCTCGTTTGCACCCCTAACGTCCGCCAAGTGTTCGATGAATTTGCTGATAAAAATGTGAACAGTTGGACCATAATAGTATCTAGCTCCGCTAAAATTGATTCCACTGAAGACACATTGGCGTTGTTTTTGCACCTACATGGAGGAGAGGCAGGTGCTCATCCAATGCCTGGTGTTTCTTTTCATATCTTTTCCAGACCTAAAGATCGATTGAAGAATGAGCATACCTGCTATTGTTTATAGTTGTGATTTGATTCAGTTGGTACAAATGGGGTGGGTCTCAAATTATCTTAAGGCTTGCGTAGTGTGGATGGATAAGAGAGTGGGGGTTTTCGATCATTAATTCATTATATGCAACATTTTCATGGTGGTTTTAATTTTCCATCATTATTTACTAAATTAAATGGATACTACTCAAAGGTTATAACTATTAATTAGAAGGGATTGTGAGCTATGGTTTCAAATTGGATTCTAGCATTTAGTTGTTAACAGCAGGAGAAGAAAGGGGAACATCTGAGAAGAAAGGATGCTACAATTGACTTTTATTTATTTTAATTAGTTAAACAAATAAATAAGTATTTAGATTTAAAAAAAATGAAAGAAATGAAAAATAAATGAAAAAACTGTCATTTCACTATTCAGAGGGACAAAAAACGCATTGAAACTAGCTCAAAAGGACCATCAATCTAAAAAAGTCGTGGTTTGGACTAAAATCCCAAGAAAATGTATACCACAAGGACCATTTTTGCAATTTTGTCAAATTTAAAGCTTGTTGATTTCCGTTCAATGAAATTATCAAACCACAAATATCATTTTTGTACTTTTCTCTAAATTTGTTATATGGTTTGATTTTTCAATTAAAAAAAAAACAAAGTACGTTAAGAAATATATTTAACCGTGATCTAAGAAAATAAACACTTCACATAGTTATGATTATAAACAAGATCATTTCTTTATTACTAAGAAATTAAAAATATATATATTTTTAAAAATTTCCACATATAAGCCTATAATTTAGTTAAATACTGTACTGGTTGTATATTATAATTCTAATGAGAACATAAATTCAAGTAAATCTATGAATCACCACCGCAATCCATTAAAATAAAACCCTTTTGTACCTCTTCTTCCCCTCTCTTCAATTTCCATTTTGTTTCTTCTTCCTCAAATCCCCAATTGAATTGCAGAAACTCCATATGGGTCTTCCATTAACAACCCCTCTCTTCCTACTCGTACTCTCCATCTGTTCTTCAACTTCTTCCTATGCAGACCTCACAACCTTCGTTTACAAAGGCTGTGCTAACCAAAAATTTCAAGACCCATCTGGTATCTCATCGCAAAACCTCAAATCTCTCTACGCCAATCTCATATCCCAATCATCCACTACCAATTTCTACAACACCACCACCGGAAATGCCCAATTAACAACCTCCATCACTGGAGTTTATCAGTGCCGAGGAGATTTATCCAACTCTGATTGCAACACATGCGTCAAAAAAATCCCTGAAACAATTGAGAAAGTATGTGGTGGAGATACAATCGCCGCCAGAGTTCAGCTAGATGGATGTTATATGAGGTATGAAGTTGTTGGGTTCCCGCCGGCGTCAGCAACGGAGCTTCTGTATAAACAGTGCGCGTCGAATCGGGCGAGTGGGTCTGGATTTGATGAGAGGTTGGAATCGGCGTTGGAGCAGATTGAAAAGGGGATTGGGAACGGGAAAGGGTATTACGCTACAGAGTATCAATCGGTTGCTGTTTTGGGACAGTGTGAAGGCGATTTGGGGAACGCGGATTGTGTGAACTGTGTGAAAACTGCGGCGGAAAATGGAAGGAGTGCGTGCGGGAGTTCACTTTCCGGTCGCATTTATCTCCAGCAGTGTTACATCGGGTACACATATTACCCAAACGGAGTACCCGGATCAGGTAAAATCATCTCGCTGGAACTCTCTATCAGCTCAATCCAATACTGTTTTATTGAAAACGACTGGAAACGAATCGTATCAATAATCACCCGAAACCGCGACACGTACAGAGTCAAAAGTGGGATCTGCGATCTATGATCCGATATAGTATCTGGATTTTTGTTTTCTTTCTTCATGTTTTACTGATAAGTTTGTGGGTTTGGTATGTTGATAGGGACAGGTAGTGGTGGTGGTGGTGGAATAGATACAGGGGTGATGGAGACAGGTGGCGGAGGTGGGCGGCACAATACCCAGAAGACGGTGGCGATTGTTATCGGGGGGTTAGCGGGATTGTTTCTGGGGATTGCTTTCTTGCTGGTTTTGAAATCGGCTTTCAAGAAGAAAAAGGACAAGTACTCTCATGGCCATGGAGGTCGGTCGGTTTCTTTCTTCATTACACATTCATGGTGGATTAAAGAAATCTTAAAAAATCCACTTGTCAGATTTGGCACTAATTATGTTTTCACTAACTAATAAATTAAACATCATCTTTTATTCTGTTAGGGCGTCGGTTATAAATTAGGGAATGTGCAATTTCAAAAATGATAATTGCTAATTGTTAATTCAATAATCAAAAAAACTAGCTAGATGGTTTTATATTGTCTATGGAATATCTATATAGCAATATGCATGTTTAATTTGATGGTGAGTCTTGAAGTAATAACTAAAAAAATAAGGGATTTAATAGTTTTTCTAACGGTTGTTGATTAATAATTATAAATATGCTAATTTATATTAAATTTTATTAAAATATATATGTATTACATATTTGTACACAGTTTTAAAATAAAATTATTGTTTTTTATACCAATAAAGCATATCTTAAAAGAGTGGTTTGTTTAATAATGTAGGTTACTGAAAAAGGAGAAGATGATGGTGAATTATTTTTGGAGCTTTCTAAGTGGATGATGTAAAGACAATGACAAAGGACACTTGCTTTTTTCTGTTTGTTTTTATATCTTTTACAGTTTTATATTTTTCGTGTAACTTTTTTGTTCAAATTTATCCTTTTTCTTGGATAAAAGAATATTTGTGTACCCCCCATCTTTTATCCAAATTATTTTAACATGGTACAAAAACTATATTACTATTACTATAGTAGTAAGTAGTAACTTAACCACTTGTATGTTTTATTATTTCTTAAAAGATACAAATATATATATATATATATATATATATATATATATATATATATATATATTATTGTATCTGAACACTCGAAACATTATGCATCACCACCACCACACTATTATAATATTATCAAATGGAGGCTCAAAATCTATGCAAATCAAATCAAGTTTTTGGATATTTTATTCGTGGGAGCAACTTTTGGGACAAATATGACTTATGAGTTGTTTTGTTGGTAGTTTCTGGACAGAATTCATGGGCATTGATTGAAGAGCATGGCGAGTTGAGGTACAAGACTTCTATGCCTTCCATGTGTTTGATAAAATGCCTGTATGAAATATAGATCAAGTTTGACAACCCTGATGAAGTTTACATGTTTATATGTGTTTGTTTCTGCATTTGATGATATAAACTACTAAAATGATTATGTTTTATAGTTTAGTGACTGAGTTAAGTTTGATTTTATGTCTGGGTTTGATCTATAATCCTATATGAATTATGAAGAGAAAAAAAGAAATATGCCAACCCATTGAGTTCATTCATTTGTTCATGCCTTTGAACCCAAGTCAAGTAGCTCTAACTAACTTGTCATATCGGCACATGCATGCATTAAGAATCAATTCCTCTTAGCTTCCAAGTCAAGCAATAAACACAAATATAAACCTCAAATTCTACCCTTTTCCCTTTCAATCTGAATTGAGCTTTTTCCTCTTCACTTGCCTAAAAAACTCTTATATTCATCTCATACTTCTCTAAAATCTGAAAGAAACAAGAAGCTCCTCAATCAAGTAAGTTTGTGTGATTTATGTTATTGCTTTTAGCTTGTTAGATTGAGAAAACTGTATTCAGTAAGAAAACGTTTTATAATGTATACTAAGCACGTTTCCAACATTTGGATTTGTGTTTCAATTTTGAATAAAAGTGTATCCCAAGGTGATCGTCAAAGAACAAGTCCATGATCATGTTGAATCGCTTGGTATGTTTATTTTCATTCATTTGCATCCTTTTTTTTTTTTACTTGGTATTTTGATATTTTACTTGTTGTAATAGAAGGTCTCCGTTATCTTGTTCGTTTTGGAGTAGAAAACGTAGCCCCTGATGAATCTTATGCAAAAGCCAGGCAAATTTGTGTGTCAAATTTGGCAATGCGAACTCTTCCCAACGCAAAAGGTTGCAATTTCATATGCCAAAAAAGTCTCACAACATTTTTTGTTCTTTATGTTAGGGTCATCAAAGTATACGATATTAACATCTTTGAGAAAATTCAGGGTCGGGGAAGATAGAGAATCGTGAAATTAAGGACGTTGATCATGCAGTTCAACGTCCTCGAGCAGTATTATCTAGTCCCGGTACATTTCCCTTGAACAAACTTTTTAGGGTGAGAAGGACATTTACGTTTTTTTTTGTACAGTCGACTTGTTCCACCATTTTTGTGTGGGACAGGAAAATTGTAGTTTTTGTTCCATAAACATCGATCTAAATGTAGTACAAGGTTGTCAGGTTCTAGAACTGTCATGTAATGTTCTGTCGTATCAACTATTTGATACAAAAGCGTCTCAATTTTGCGCTAGAGGATGAGACATTTTTTGGTTTGTTTACCGTGCAGATAATGACTATTTGATTGGGAAGATGAACGAGAAGGCATTCAAACGGGTTTCTACTCCAAAACCACATGCTTCTGGGAAAGTTAATTTGGTTTGTGTTGACGTTGGGAAGGCACGTGGTACAAACCCAACCTTTGGTGTACAAAATCGTCCCAAGATAAAAGACCACAATAGACCGTCAATTTTAAAAGATAAAACATGTATAACAAAACTAAAATCATAAATTTATAAGACATTGTGATTGATTTGCTTATAAATTTGATATTATTGACTGCAACAAATGGTGTTTTTTCCGTGTTTTCTTAGGTTTTGTATGATTGTTGGGAAACTTGAAATAAACCGCATGTAACCCGGTTTTAAAATACCTTTCACGTAAATAAACAAAATTTCAAATGAATACCCTTTGCATCGTTCCAGAAAGCTATACTATGGGTGTGACAGATTAGGGTTGTCTGTTAATTCAATCTCGATAATATTAGAGAATACGGTTGACCTCAATTTGAAGGCTCATTGATTGCAGACTCGATCTTGAATTGGTAGAAAATATCCATTTGTACGTTTAATTGGATTAATTGGTATGTTTGCCCTTTCCTTTGTAAGTAAACCATGTATCTTGCCTCTCGTCTAATTTCTTGCTAGATGTGAGTATTTTTGTTTTATATATATATATATATATATATATATATATATATATATATATATATATATATATATATAGAGAGAGAGAGAGAGAGAGAGAGAGAGAGAGAGAGAGGAAGGATCCTTTGAGAACCTATACTTTCCCGAGAACCCGAGAACCAAAATGACTGTTAGATCAAAATAACAGAGGGTCAAGAAGATTTGTGACATTTTTGTAAAAACTTGGAAATAAAAAACACGGGGGTATCTTATTTCAATTTGTTAGAAGGCATTTTAGGGATATAAAACTTATACATGATCCTGTCAAACCCTTTCCTTATACTATTTCTCTATGTTCGTCATCAAATCTCTCTCCCTCTCACGTTCTTCATTGACGATAAAGACGACTGCCTCCTCCATCATCCGTCGTCGATCGCCTCCCTCCTACCTTCACCAGCCACCTCTACCTCTGTCGACCACCACACTCCTTGATCTCACGTTCTTCATAGAAAAAATTCCACTGAAGATGCTTTGATTTTGAATCGTTTTATCCTCCATCAATTCGTTCCCCGGAGTACACCATAATCGCCGACTTCATCTCGGCCTCCTCTGTGGATTGAAGATCTGAACGAAGAAGAAGATCCTTTGTCGATCAAGAATTCAAAGTGAAAACAATATGAAAAGTGCATCTGGTCTCGATCGCTATACTTATGCCTGAAGCACTTGACCTTAGCCTATCAGACTATCCCTAACTCTCGATATCAGTCTCAATTTTCCTCCACTAGAAGTTGCCTAAACAGAGGTTTTTATTTTTCTGCATTTCTTTGGTTTTTAGATCAGATGTCACTTTTGCTTTTCTGCATTACCAAAATTAAGTTGACAATCTATATGCTTGTTCGTATTCTGATTTAGTTATCAGATTCAATACAGTATGTGATATTGAAATTACTTAGAGTTTAGAAGTTTTCTTATTAAGAAGAACATTTTCGTGAAAATATAAAACTCTAGTGCTCTTTTCCTTCATGTGTTGCCTTATGAATATTGTTGTTCTCTTTAACATGGACCTTTCTGGTGAAAATATAGTCAATTTGTATTCAAAGTGTCAGGTTTTCTGAAGTGCACACAAGTTGCTCGATGAAAGTCCTGAACCATATATTTTCTTAGGATTTTACCGGAGTTCTATTTGTAGTTAACCTTGTTTGTATATGAGATTCTATGAACATACTTAGTGGTGACTCCAAGAAGATCAACCCATTGGTAAGTAATATTCTAATTATCCCATTCACATATTTTTTTAAAGCATCAATAGCTTTTAATTATTTCATATCTTCGTATTTCCCAGGTGCCAGTAGACCTTGTGATTGACCATTCAGTTCAAGTTGATGTTTCAAGAAGTTCAAATAGTGAACTTTGCAAATCCTTAAAGTTTTCAAATTGAAAACAGAAATGATTATGGATTTGTTAAAGTGATAAGAAATTTAAAACAAGGAAGGAATCCGGTTTTCGGACAAAATAAGATTTCTACATTCAACTTGAAAACTGAAATTTTTATGCCTAGTTTGTGTTTTGAGTGAAAAAGGGATGTATGAAATATGAATGTTCCAAAAAATTCCAAATGAAGTCATACACATGCTTTAAGAGTTTATATGCACAATAAGGTGGAATTCAAAAAGTTGTGCATTTGATAGAAGGTCTATAGACGTTTTATTATCAAAACAAGTTTCATTTAATTCATTAGATATTCTGAAAGTTGGTTAAAGAAGTGGCACCAATTGACAAGTTATCCAATGATACCTTGAAGATTTTGTAATTATTATTATTATTGGTGTTTAGAAACTGCTTTAAGTTTATTTGTAATTATAAATTATAACCACATTTTTTTAATATATTGCAAGTTGATGTTATTATTGTTTGGATTATGAAAACTAGGAAAGTGCTGAGTCACACTCTTTTGATAACCGAACTCTTTTAGCAGGTAAATTCATTTTCCTTAGAGAAAGTTACACATTTGATCTTTGAATATAGCTGGTTTTTGCAAATATGGTACCTAATTCCAAATACTAAGACTTTATTTTTGGTACCAAAATTGCAAAATCAGCTTTACTCAGGGGATAAAGGTAGACATTTTACCGGTACGTGGACCAAAAATGTTACAAAAACTAAAATTGCAAGAACAAATTTATCAGGACCAAACTTGAAAAATTCAAATATACTTGTGGACAAAAAAGGTTGATAAAAAACTACAAACATAATAAATCTTGAAAGTTTAGTCATTTACTATAGGCAATAAAGGTTGATAACTTTCAATAAGAACACAACTTAATGATTTGATTGATCACTTCACCTCCTAATCACACATTTTACTTTTATTGCTGCCCTATTTCTTACCATTTCAATTTGTTTTTCAATTATAAAGTAAACAAATGAACAAAATTATATTGTTATTTCTTGAGTTTACCCGTATCTTGAGTAGGAATGATAGTTTTCCATGTTTGATTAAATTTTAGAATTTATGATTTGTTTGTAGTTTTCAATTTTCATTATGTTTCAATCATGTACAGAACCCAAAGGCCAACTTCTATTAGTTAAAAGGCCAACTTCTATTAGTTAATGGAAAAACAGAAGATGAAGTTTATAGAAATATGGAAAAAAAAATTCTTACAATGAAGATAACAAAAGAAGAACCTAAGGTAACAAATGACTTACATTTATTATTGATGCAATTACTTGTTGTGTTTGTTTGATTTAAATTTAATTAGACGATATGTATGTATTTTGTTGCAGGATGTGGCTTTTATGATTGATGGATAGGCTCTTGAAATTGCACTCAATTATTATCGGAAAACATTCACATAGTTGGAAATATTATCACAGACAACTATATGATGTTGGATTACACCATCCCTGAAGGCACAGGTACAATTAGCTACACTTTGTTTATTTTGTGATTGCAAATTACAGACCAAATATGTATGTCTAAAGTATTTTTACGTATTTAACTATTAGCTATTTATGATTCAAAGCCAAAACGCAGGTAATTTTCAAGTTGACTAAAAAAATTTCATTTCATAAAAAAGAATTAAAAAAAGTTACTAAAAATCGTTCCTTTTTTTATTGATTAATTATTGTTCTTGAATCACATGTAATTCCTTTACAGTAACCTAGACAGTTAATTACATTACGTGTCTGATTGATAAAAATCACATGTAATTCACATATGAATTATATGTAATTCACATATGAATCACATATGAATTATATGTGATTCACATATAAATCACATGTTATTCACATATAAATCACATGTAATTCATATATGAATAACATGTAATTCACAAGCGAATCACATATGAATTACATGTGATTCACATATAAATCACATATGATTCACATATAAATCACATGTGATTCACATATAAATCACATGTAATTCACAAGTGAATCACATATGAATTACATGTAATTTACATATAAATCACATGTGATTCACGTATAAATAACATGTAATTCACATATGAATCACTTGTAATTCACAAGCGAATCACATATAAAATATGAATTACATGTGATTCACATATAAATCACATGTAATTCACATATGAATCACATGTAATTCACAAGTGAATCAAATATGAATTACATGTGATGCACATATAAATCACATGTGATTCACATATAAATCACATATAATTCACATATGAATCACATGTAATTTATATGTAAGTCACGAGTGAATCACATATGAATTACACCTATATGCACACATGCATTTTGTGTGAGTGTTCTTCGTTTTTATTTTCTTATGAATTTCACATTTGAATTTTAAAAGATACATTCACATGTGAATATCACATTAGATAATCGAATGTGAATCTTACATGATATATACATATGCATTTTTGTGAGTGTTCTTGCATTAATCATTTTTCTTATTTTCTTGTAGATTTGAAAGAATTTGTGGAAAATTTTGAAGATGCAAAAAGTGATAAATTGAAGAAAATATGGAAATCTTGATATGAAGAAACGATAACATTGTGAATCTTTGAAGCTTTTTTTATTTTTTATATATTATTTTGTATCGAACAAAATACTTGTACCATTATGTTTATAGATTGATTAATAAAAATAAGATATTTTATGATTTACTTACGAATATTATAGTATAAGAAAAAAATGCAATTTTTAAAAAAATTTTGGAGTTTTTTTTGAAAAAAATTGCAGGTTTTTTCTGAAAATCTGCAGTTTTTTTTTATTTTAAAAAAGCAGTTTTTTTTTAATTTTTTTAAGAAGCAGTTTTTTTAAAAAAATTGTTGTTTTTTTTTCAAAAATTTTGCAGTTTTTTTTTTTAAATTACATTTTTTCATTTTTTTAAAAAATTCATGTTTTCTGAAAATAAAAATTATTAAAATCTGAAATTTGATTTATTATGTTAATTTTGTCCAATAACACAGAAAAATAAACATTAAATGAGATCGGTAAGATTACGATCATACCCTAAATGAGTTAATTTTGATTTAACGCTCCACATTTAGTTCTCAGGTTCTCGGGAAACTATGAGTTCTCAACCGATCTCAACCCTATATATATATATATATATATATATAT